GAAGCGAAACTGGGGCTCTATTCTATGCCCAGGAGTCTGGTCTTGATACCCTCTGTAACAGAACCTTGTGTCGAATCAGGTACAGTTATGTCCAACCACTGGCTATATTGAGAAAATGTGAGACTTACTACACATGGAAATGAGGACCACTAACTCGGATTTTATGGACGACTGGCACGACCCCTTGAAGACGATCCCGTCCACCAAGTTGTCTCTTCCAGGGACAACTTTGGGTGGACCTAGGAAGTGGTGGCTCGGGTAAATTATTCAGGTCTGTTGTGATAAGCTGGAGACGGGCCATGGACCTATATGGTTGGATGAGGATGTTACAGTCGGTTATGTTAGTAAGATATTGTTATCAAGCTAAAAAAAATATATGTTTATATAAATAGAATCATCTTTCTAACATGCCACACATAAATGCATTAATGAATCAATAGGTACCTTACACAACTGCTCACAAGATATTTTCTCTTTCACGCAGCTGATAAGATGGTGTTCGCCAACGCTTCCGGTCCTCATGCAGAGGCCTACACCGGTCAGGTTGTCTTCGGATATCCTGAAGGTGTCACCGTGGTGGACCTTGTGCCAGAGAACATCCGGCACATGATCCACCCTCACTGGAACAACTACCCTCCGGTCAACCCCATGTGGCACTATGTGCTCGGTTGCATCTACATCATCCTGGGCTGTCTCTCCTTCTTCGGTTAGTGCCTCTCCCTAGGACGCCATTAGCGTCCTAATGCTATTCTTTTTAATGCTGTCATTTTTTTCATGATAAGAAATTGGCGCTGATGAAGCAGTCAAGCAAAGATTACTGAAAGGTGCTTTTCACACAGGCAATGGGCTGGTCATCCTGCTCTACCTGAAGAACAAGTTCCTACGGACGCCTTCCAATCAGCTGGTCCTCAACCTGGCCATCAGTGACTTCCTCATGCTGATGACGCAGTTCCCCTTCTTCACCTACAACTGCTTCAGCGGAGGAGTGTGGATGTTCAGTGAGACCTTCTGCGAGCTGTACGCCTTCTTCGGTAAGTCAGTCTGCAAGGGTGCTAGAGAATTTGCAAAACAAGCAAGCATGAAACTCTGTTCAAGAATCATTCCTTTGGCGATCTGGTCCTCACTCCCTTGCCTCTCTCCCCAGGGGCCATCACCGGCATCGCATCCATCTGGACGCTGTCCTTCATCTCCTACGACAGGTACAACGTGATCGTGAAGGGTGTGAGCGGAACGCCCTTGACCTCTGGAAGGGCCACCGCCTTCGTCCTCTTCGCCTGGATCTACGCCATCGCATGGTCGCTGCCTCCCTTCTTCGGCTGGGGAAAGTACATTCCTGAGGGTGAGTGACTCGCGCTGGCCATACACTTGCTTGAATTTCCGAAACTCTTTGGGACGCAAGGAAGATAAACATTGCCGTTTCGCACAGGTATCCTGGACTCCTGCTCCTTCGATTACCTCACCCGCGATGACAACCTTCGATCCTACGGAATCAGCATCTTCGTCTTCGACTTCTGCGTACCTCTCTTCACCATCGTCTTCTCTTACATTTCCATCGTGAAGGCTATCTTCGCCCACGAGGCCGCCATGAGGGAGCAGGCCAAGAAGATGAACGTGTCCAACCTCAGGTCAAACCAGGTAAACCCTCCACTTTACGTCTTCCAAGGTCAACCATCTTATTTATATTCAACATGAGCAAAAGAAATGAAATATCAATTACTATATCTGTTCCCTCCCCGTGACAGGAAGCCCAAGCACAGTCTGCTGAGGTGCGCATCGCCAAGGTCGCGTGCACCAACGTGGCTCTCTGGGTGGTCTGCTGGACTCCCTACGCCGCCATCGTCGTCCAGGTTGGCTCCTTTCCTGTTTCAAACAAGTTGGTTCTGACGCTTTATTTCTTGTATAATTGCAAAGACCGGCATTCGCTGAACATGTTTTTTCTCCCTCCAGGGCCTGTTCTTCAACCAGGGCCCCATCACGCCTCTCGTGACCATGCTGCCCGCCCTCCTGGCAAAGTCCTCTGCCTGCTACAACCCCATGGTCTATGCCATCAACCATCCCAAGTTCAGATTGGTGAGTAAGACTTTAATCATCCAAGTGGAAGATAGATAGATTTACATACATGTAAAGAATCCACCCATTCTGGATGTTTCCGAAAGCCCTTCTAACCGGCCCTCCATCCCTCCCTCCTTGCAGGCCCTCCAGAAGCAGATGCCTTGGTTCTGCATTCACGAGAACACCGAGACGGCCTCCTCCAAGTCCGCCGAGACCAAGTCCGTCGAGTCCAAGGAGGAGAAGGAAGAGGCTGCTTAAATCCCACGACGACGACGACGACAGACAAATGCACGTTACAATGGAATAGGACGGAATTCCCCATGGCGTCGCTGAATGCGTTTCGCTGTCATGGATCTTACGTTTATTGCAATCTCGATCATCAAATGACCAATAGCTTCTTCCTTCGCTAATCTTTCCTATGACGAAAATAAATCTGGCTTTGGGCAAAGGATGTTTTATTATTTGCTTTTTCGTCTCATACAACGTTGTTTAATTGAACGTTGACAATGGTAAGTAAAAGATTGTTTACATCACGCACATATCATAGAGAATCTGAGCAATGGAACATCCAATTTCTATGTGTATATAAACAAATTTCTCTCTCTCTCTCTCTCTCTCTCTCTCTCTCTCTCTCTCTCTCTCTATATATATATATATATATATATATATATATATATATATATATATATATATATATAGCCACACACATACACACACAACACATTTACACAAACACACTTACACACACACACTTAAACACACACACTTACACACACTTACACATACATACACTTACACACACACACACACACACACACACACACACACACACACACACACACACACATTACACACACACATACACACACACTTACACACACACACACCACACACACACACACACACACACACACACACTTACACACACATACATACACATATATTGCACCCCAACAATCATTCCCTACTGAATCTTGGTAAGCCTATTGAACATTGAGGTTTTAATGATATCATTGGCTTAATACATAGGGTAGGTTAGGTTCGTCAAGGCTAGGTTAGTATGTAGTATAAGTTGCGGGACTAGATTTTGAGTTTTAAAATTGTTTATGAGATACCCTAGTTGTTTTTGTTTTTTGTTTTTGTTTTCAAACAATAGGGATCACACACGCATGCACGCAAACACACACACACACACACATATGTCATAGGGCGTCTTTTGTATATCATAAGATTTAATCCAGTATTAAAGTTTATTTCAGAACTCTAGTGCGCATGCATAATGGCAGCGTCCGGGATCAACTTTTAAAGCACCTCTGGACCAGCATTAACTTTTAAGCTCAAAATTAAAGCTTGCACATGCGCAGAACGAGCTAGTTCATCTCACCAATCATGTATTGCTACGTAATGACGTCACCAACTCCATAGAAAAGATGGAGTTGAGTTGCCATTAATGTTTATTATAGGCAATAATAAAACCAATTCTGACATTTTCAATGTTAGAGGTATATGAAAATTCATCAACAATTTATTCTTATAAGTTGTGGGATACTCAAATTGCAGTTATAACAACAGTGAAAAGAAAAACGAAAAGAAAATTCCACAAATTCTAGTTTACAGATAAAAAGGCAATATTATATCCAGGTTAGAAAAACACTCCCAACTCGTGTAACATATCAATAGACTAAAAAAGAAAGCTTATAATAATATCACGAGTAGATCTCATATTCAAAGTACAAAATTATCGAATCTTTATATTACAATGACTTTAAAACCGCGTGGAAATTTGTTATCATATCGATAGCAACATCCTGAAAAACTACTAAAGGCTAAATAATAGCAACTCGAGGTGTCAATGACGTCTGATTTGTATGACGTCACAAAAGTTGCGATTCTATTTTTGGAAGAAGCACATGGGGTCTATTATTCATTTTGGTCTTTTCAATTTTCCAAAAGGATGGAGAATAATTATTTAAATGGTTGTATTTTCATTGAACAATCATCAGAATAGCCCTGTGGATGAGAAGAGTGGGCGTTTATGTTTATGCATAATTCTTAAGCCGTGGGTCAAGCCATAGGCCTGTAGTTTTACTCAACTTGAAGGAATTAAGTATACATACTTTTATTAATACCTCCATGCAATCAATGAATAAATGAAAGGCATTTTATTTAATATGTAGGACACCAGGTCAACAAGATTTTATGAAGTCAAAAACGCCTGAAAAGCCATTGAAACTTTCACCCTGTTGGATAATGTACAAAATGTGAACATGAACATGTTATTCTAAAAATAGCTCGGCCGGGTACCCTGCTCATTAAATGAAATACCTTTCTTCATTTATTGAGTGAATGGAGGTATTAATAAAAGGAGGTATACTTAATTCCTTCCATCTGACTAAAACATACAGGCCTTTAGCTTGACTCCTACTGCGAGCAACGTGTGTGTGTGTGTGTGTGTGTGTGTGTGTGTGTGTGTGTGTTGTGTGCATCTATACATATATATGTGTGTGTGCATATATACATATATATGTTTTTGTGTACATATATACATATATATGTGTGTGTGTGTGCATATATACATATGTGTGTGTGTGTGTGTGTGTGTGTGTGTGTGTGTGTGTGTGTGTGTGTGTGTGTGTGTGTGTGTACATATATACATATATGTGTGTGTACATACATACATATATATATATATATATATATATATATATATATATATATATATATATATATATATACACACGCGCGCACACACACACACACACACACACACACACACACACATATATATATATATATATATATATATATATATATATATATATATATATATATATTATGTGTAGTGTATTATATATGTGTTTGTGTGTGTGTGCGTGTTTGTATATATGTCGAGATCGTTACTGATTCGACATTCAAAAGATGCAGTGACCATGATTGCAAAGATGTATATTCCCCACTGAAAACGTTTCTTATCGTATTTTTTCAATGCAAATCAGTATGGCAAATTGCAGTGTTATAACCAACAGAGTAAACTATGACGATTATATATAAATAGTGGTTTTTTAAAAGTTGACGTTTCAATGTGGGGAAAAGTAATAGTTTGTTCTAGTGATTTTTCGTCAGACCAGTCTTGGCTTCACTCTCTCTGCAGGTATGTCGAGTGCTGGTAATCAAATTCATGTTTTGCCCAGATATTGGAGGCTGTGATGCTTCATAGAAGAACTGACATAATTGTGAAAGTTTATGTTTTGCATTGGGATGATCTAGAAGTCTTGGCTGCACCTTGAGTGTAGAGAGGAAGAGAGGTTGGTGAAAGGCCTGCAACCCACAAGCCATCACGCCAGCTTTGTTGTTGGTAAATTTCATTGATAATTTATTTATTTATTTATATTTTATTTATTTATTTAGATACAGTAACATAATTCATCAAAGATAATAAGTCCGACTGTATCAAGTTATGAATTGTAAAGAGAACAACAGACCAGAGTCGGATATATAAAAGTATATTGTAGAAATTAGAAGGGAGGGACCGTTTACTCCATGTACAAGTAAATGATGGAGAGATATCTTTGGAATAGAGTTGACTGTTTCAACAGTCTCAGTTTTTATCATGTTCATAGTAATGACTATTGAATTATAATTAGTAGAAAAAGGGAGGGTGTAGAGTTAACCTTGGACATGAATTAAGTTGGCAGCAGAGAGCATTCCTTGTCTTTATTCTTATAATGCTTATTCGTACTTTGTGATATGCCACTTGTTTGTTATTACTTGCTCATAGAATAAAGTTATTGGCTAAAAATGTTTCTGACCATTGTGTCTCAGCACACACTCAACAAACGAATTAATTTAATCCACCCCACGAGTCTTACCAATAGGTTGTGCTACCCACATTAGAATTAGGTATGCAAAAATCTGGTTTTCCTTGACATACTGGCAACAGTACAATAAGTTTACTAAGAATACAAATATATTTATGTTGGTATATGGAAAATGCTAATGTTATATATATATATATTATATATATATATATATATATATACATATATATATAGATAGATAGATAGATAGATAGATAGATAGATAGATAGACAGATAGATAAATAGCTAGATAGATTGAAATATCCATGTAAGTTTATCTCTATATATATGTGTATATATGTATACACATAGATAGGTAGATATAATACACACACAATATATATATATATATATATATATATATATATATATATATATATATACATTATTCCATCTTTCATAAATACACCTCAGTACTTCTGACTTGGGATTTAAATTGCTAAACCAATTTCCACTGAGTGCTCATCTGGAATGTCAGTAAAACCACTATCTTTGATCATGTATGAGTAGCTAGGTAATGTTTATGGAATTAGTTCCTAGTTGCACACTACTTTTAGTGAGTCGAGTGGTACGATTGGTTTAGCACTGGTCCTCCAGTGACCCAGGTTTGAGTCCTGGTCAGGGAGGATAGTTATTTATATGTATATATATATATATATATATATATATATATATATATATATATATAATACACACATTCGGCCTCCTTTCTTAAAATTCGTTGAAGGACATAGGCCTTTCCCAGACTTTTCCCATGTCAGTGTGTCTCTAGTCTTCCGGTACCAATGCTTCGAAACTTGCTGACTTGCTGAACTGCGTTCGTGTTACTTGAGACGTGCCTCATGAACGGGAGAGGGCGGGCCATACCCTACCATGTTGGCCCAATGCAGGCTGGTACGGGCTCTCATAGTCTTCTTTTTACGAATGACATACATTGAAAGTGTTCTTCCCATGTCCCCCCATCCACAGGGGAGTACCAATAGGCAATCGAGGTGAAGTTCCTTGCCCACGGGAACAATGCACTGGCCAGGACTCAAACCCTTGAACTCAGTTTGATGCTCTAACCATTCAGGCCAGTGCGCCCAATATATGTGTGTTTATTTATATATAAATATATAGAAATATATTATATATGATTTTACATTATAAATGAAAGATCTTTCTTAGTTGCAGGGTTTATTTTTGTCGGATTGAAGGTTAACTACTGTCTAAAGTAATTTAGTCCTTATGACAGTACACCATACGGCAATACAGTCGAATGTGACGTAGGCGGCGTTTGAATCCGTGATCCGAAAAGAAAAATCCTGTCATCATCAGAGATTCCGTCCGACTTCATGAGGCACAAAAATCAACCTGAACTGGAAAGCCTCTCTTGTTTCCGACTGACTAGGTCTTCCTTGTGTTCGAGTAGACCGAGGCACCTAAGCATCTTCCTTGGCTTCTTTCGTCTCGACGGACTTGGTGTCGGCAGACTGGGAGGAGGACGTCTCGTTGTTCTCATGAATGCAGAACCAAGGCATCTGCTTCTGCAGGGCCTGCGAAGGAGATATGGACAGCCAGTTAATTGTACTCTTGCAAACATTCAGACAT